CCCTTAAGGCTGATTTATGTGAAAACTTGCTTAGTGCCACTCGTGGGTTTAGTTCAGTATATACAAAGGTAATAGGCTATGCCTTTCAATGTCTATATGCCTCTTAAAAATCGTTTGACTTTATACGATACTAAACCCAAGGAGTATTTAGAACTCCTAAAACAGCATACTTAGTACGGGCTTTCGTTCAAACTATCCAGTCGCACGATGCACTTGTAGGACTAACGTTCGTAAATGGATGTCGAACGGCTAATCATCTGCAGCACAAAATTCCCTCGCAAATTTGCGCAAATCACTACAGCCCGCAGTCGTCTTAAACTACAGCGACTTTTACCCATGGGTAAGAGCACGTATAGCGATCAGTCGGATTCATTACTCTAAGCCCTTGAACACAACAGTAATTATCGCCGCCAAGGGACTACTAGAGTTTTGAAGGACAAAGTTTAATCGGACCCGCTGTCTGTCGCATGCATTATTCACGGGGTGGCTCAAACCAATGAACTTGCGTTCTCTGCATCTTAAAAACTGTCATGTCGCATCGGCCGCTTTGACCGAGTATGCACAGTTGGGGACCAGCTTCATTAAATGTTAACCGAAATTCCGAGAGGCGTTTTCGATTAGGAAGGATTACTTAGGCGGGGTTATAAGCATGATAACCGTGCCGCCTAATCCCAAAATGATTCACTCGCACCGGGGTACCGGCTTTTGAATGCACTTCTTTTCAGCCGCCGGCAAAAGCAACAAGCGGACAAAAAATGTCTATTGATGTAAAGTGCATTTTTGGATTTTCCATGGACCAATAAATGAAAACATATTCTGCGGAAAATACGTTTTAAAAAACATCTTTTTACATTCATTTCTTGACTAATCACGTTGAAGAAACGGCGTTTCTCGATTTTAACAAGGTTTTTTTTAAATTCCCAAATAATTTTGAGCCCGATCTGCTGTCGCACCTGTGTCCAGGGTTTGGAGTCTCCAAGCAGTATACTTTCCATGAAATGGAAGTCGGTATTATGTGGCTATGTAGCCCCACCTAATGGACACAATATTTTTGGGGTTGGGGTTAGGGGTTAGGGTAAGGGGTTATGGCTAGGGATGAGGGTTAGGGGGTTAGGGTTAGGGGTTATGGTTAGGGGTTGGGTTTAAGGGTTATGGTTAGGGGTTGTGGTAAGGGGTTAGAATTAGGGGTTAGGGCAATTATTTCTCGATTAATCAAAGTACAACCACGCATTCCCAATAGCTTTTCTTTTGCATACAACTACTTGACCTCGTCGCCTGTGCGTTCGCTGGCCCCACCTGCAAAAAGCCCTACTACCACCGGTCCCGTATTACAGGTGGCTGGGGTTTCTTTACTTCAGCTGGGGCTACATAACCACATCTGTCCGGGAAATCATGCATTCCTCTAAGCCATTAAAAAGATATCCTATAGGATTCCTTAGATTTTGCAGTGGCTGTGGACCATGTCCTATACTTCATGATAAACGTACACGTGCGATGCTATTTAAGTGGACACTTCACGTTCTTAATACATCCCATAATTATAAACTGTTTTAAAACCCAATTATACCGTTTTTTCGAGTAGAAATTTGAAAAGGGCATAACTTAGTATTCACAGAGCGGAAGGAAGAGTATTTTTATTCACAGTTTCTACAAAATATCTATGGAAGATATAGTAAAACTTAAGTAGTCATCGTTTGCCGTGTGCTGTTTTTACAGGTGACCGGAAAGTATTGCATTCAAAACCCGTCACCCTAGCGTGCCTGAACAATCTTGGGGTTATGTTGCACGGTAATCAATATTGTAATCTCAGTCAAGTACTCATTTCTAATCCAAAAATATTTTAGAATTTCGCCTGACATTTCATAAACCTGGTCACTGACTGTACCATAGACAGGAAATGTTAGCTTGTTTTGAAAACGTCCACTTTCTCGAGAGATGTAATAGTCAGCATAAACTGTAAGCAGTTGGGCTTAAATACATCTGAAGACTAGGCTTTTTGATATGTTAATAGCTTTTCGAGTAATTTAAGTCGTGGGGAGTCAAATTTCGTTGTATCTCACGATAATTTTGGACGGCCTTTTTGACAGTTATTTTCCCCTTTAAACTTAAGAAACATATTTTTGAGGTTGTACGTCGGGTTATTTCCCCCTGATCCAACTGCCGCTACTATCGTCCGATTAAAATGGACAGAAGTCTTTCTCCCCAGCCAGTTCAGGAGGTCTCAACAGGAAATCCAGCGCCACTCCGACGGAAAAAGCGGTGACTTTCTCTGAATACAGGTCCACCGGCCGAGTTCAAATTCTTAGTAAACGTAAAGCCTTTTTTTAAAAAATCGAAAGCTGGTTTTCGTTTGGGTCTAAAATTTGAAGTAGACGTAATTTGTCATCAAAAGTGTACAAAAAGGGCATTTTGCATGCTTCCCATAAAATAAGTTTGAATTTATAAGGACTTTCAAAGTCAACTGAAACCAATCCACGATACCTAAGTTGTCCCTTTTATCGAATATAGCTGATGCAGACCGCCGAAAAAGTTCATTCAAAAGCTGACATCTTGGCGTGATTGAAAATCTCAGGATTATGCTGCATAGTACTCAACTCTACCTACGCGATTCTTTCCAACCTAAACTGCATTTCAGAATTTTGGTTAGCATTTCATGAGATCTGCCACCTACCTTAGTGTTATATCGATGTTAGCAAATTTCGCCTTCCGACAGTCTGGAAGCTTTTGTATTTTAATGAGAATGTACAAAAAATTTAAATTTCGTTGTCGCCTCACTCGTAGTTATTGTCCGAGAACATTCCTCCTCGATTATCAATTGAAGAAGTGAATCAGTTGGCAAGGATGTGGTTTGTGGCCGAGGTTATTAACTCCCGAGAGCATTTGTGCTGAGTAAAATAGCTAAACATCTAAAAACTTTATGCTATCACAAAATTCGCTCCTATATATTGTCACCAATTAAAGGAGGACACTATCTTTATCATTTAATTATAATAGTGAATGAGCTTAATGGCCCATTGCAGGCATTGTCAAAAGGGTATTGCATTGTCGTATTTTTACTCCGATGACTACCTTAAATCATCTTGATCACTCTCACCCAACAGCCAATGTGTGATCTTTTTAGTTCCCTCTTTGGTACGTACAAATAAATGTCGCTAGTTATTTTCTGTTAGAACAATTGCTCCCCGGCGTAGGTAGCCACCGGCCACAAACCATATCTTTGTCAATCATTTTAAGCAGACGTATCAAATTTTGAATATTGTCGGAGGATGTTAAGTTTTAAAAAGCCGTATTTTCGGAATAAAGTGCATGAAGGAAAGATACTTTCTTAAGTATTGGCAAAGTTTTAAAAAAGGCAAACATGTGTTCACATGTAACAGCCCAGTATAGGTTTGGGGACTGATGTCTAAGCCAATAAGGGAATCAGTTCGGCAATGGTCGACTGCGAAACAGGAATATGATAAGTAAACAAACATTATAAAAGGTAATCCAAAAGTAACAGTGCAAAAGTAAAAATTAATGACTTCAGATGTTACAAGCGTTTTCTAAAGCAGCATCATAAATCATACTGTAGCCGCTTTCAACCATTACACGTTTTAAAAGTCACTTTGCTAATTACATCAGAAAATGATGCGCAATCAATACAGGGTTTTAGGAACTCAACGGCCTAAGTGCGTCTTGAATGCATACGAGCTTCTGAGACGAGCGCTATTACCTTGACCGGAGCAATTATGTAATGTTCAAGTCCGTTAATCGGGTTATGACATCTTTTTTTCCAGCATCAAGTTTGCGTCGAGACACATGCAACATTAGCTAGATTTTTCAGTGTGTTTTTAAACAAACAAGTATTTCTCGGATGGATTTGGAAGATCAAAACGGAGACGATCATCATCATCAGTCAGTTTCACATGTCAGCATGCTGATCTTTAAAAGAACAACGTCCATTAAAACAAGAGGCAAAGTTAAACCACTGGAGTTTTCAATCGATTTATGGGCAGAATGGCTCATTTCGTCTATCAAAATGCTTCGTTGTGTCTCTGCAATTTAAGAGAAAACCTACATTTTCGGTCATTCGCCAGGGTTCAAAATTCACTGATATGCAGCTTTTTCGAAGCAAATTCTCATACCCCCTCGTGTTTGGCCCAAAGTCAGGCAGCGTCCATGTTGAGACTTTGGTTAAGTCACTGCCAGCCTATCGGTCTACCGCTGCTGCTACTGCTCAATTTCCACCTGCGACAATTTGCAGATTTTCTTGTCGATATTAACAACCCTCGACTCGAGTGTCCATTGGAATTTGCGCGGATGCCTAGCCTGATAAGTTGTGCTCTTGGGACTATACGCCTAAGTCACACAGCATTTACCCAGTAAAACTGCCAACTGACCTCCTAAATCGGCGGCAAAAATAAGAAATCACATGGGACGCGCCGGAGAACCAACATTCGAGACGAACTACTTCCAATTGCGCATAGGAAAAGTGACAAATACGCGCCTGGGCTAGCATCTGTGTTCGAACTACGCTTAGATTGCTTAAGGAGTGAGGAGTTCCATTCTTAGGCGTCAACATGACTGACTTCTCCCCTGGTATTTTAATCCGGTCAGTTTTTAACTTTTTAGGCCTTTTAGTAGTCCAGTGGATTCTACATTGGTTGTTTATGAAATCCTGCTTAGGCAGCCAGCTTACAGAATCGAAATTGGTTGAACCCATACGTTTCAGTAGGCTGTGTGGGCAACTTGACCCAAATGTGATTAAACTCACGGCTGCCGGTCGGGCTTTCATAGCTCAGAGTGTTGGCCTTGTCCTTGCTGTTACGGTCTCGGATCCAAATGAGGTCTCCATGTTTTTATTTCAAAATTTAGTTAAACAAGCTACCCGAAAGTATTATCCAATTCCTGATCAGTGACTATATTAGCTATGCTTGCAATCTGAACTTTAGGGTCACTGAAAAACAAGCTTTTGTTTTAATATAGCATCGCTACGTCGTGACTCCAAGAGATTTCTACTCATGCCAGATCAGGTTATCAAGTGGCACAGAATCCTCCTCTGTTGTGCTACCTGTCTGGAGAATTACCAAGCAGAAGCTACCACGCACCCAAAGCTTACGGTAGGCTGTTAAAAGTGTTGATAGTACTGGCCTTCTTCCTTATCCCAGGTAGAGAGAGAGGACTGCTTTATTTTGAAAATGACTTTCAAAACTTTCAGCAAAAACGGTTCTCCAGTACACAGTGATTACCATAGAGATTGACAGGTTTTTGGACAGACAGGTGGACATGATTATGTATGAAGAAAAAAGGACTTTAAGGTGCAAGATCGTGTTTTAGTTTTTGTTTTTCAACATCTTTGCAGGTGAGATACCGGGCTAGAAATGGCAGTATGGAATTCCGATAGGCCGAAGTGCGGCAAGGGATGTGGCGGAAGCATCGACGCGTGAGGCGTAAGGATTTCGCAGCCATTAACTCATTATGAAGGGGATGGACGGTGTCATTCAGAATTCGGTCAGCGAATTGCTCCACCGAGTTGAAGTGTCGCTGCACGATGATATCAACTAAAAGATGATAGGAAACACCAGCAGCAGAGGCGAGCATTCGAATGACACGTTTAAAAATAATTAGATCTTTTTTAAGTAAAGCTGGAAAAATAACTGGAGAACAATAAAGAATGAGTGGAAGAATACAGCCATCTATGAATCGCCAGATTAAGGACTGGGGTGTGTGATATGAACGTAGACGACGAATGTAATAAACAAGTCTTTGAATTTTTGTTAAAAGGGTTTCCATATGAAGAGAGAAAGAGAGATTTGAGGATAAAGTAACACCTAGGTACCGGAAAGAAGATACCTCATTGGGAAGAATATCCAAAGGTTCAGGAATGGGAGAGGGTCGCAATCGAAACACACACTGTACTGATTTCTGATTGTTGAGTAGGAGTCCATTATTCGAAGACCATGCGGAGACGTGGTCTAAGCCATCCATTAAAGACTGTAGGTGAGTCAGGTTTTTGAGTGGGTGGCCTACGACCATGTCATCGGCATACTTAACATACAGAGCAACTGGGACAGCTAACTTTCGCAGATAACACGAATGCCGCCTCGTCGAAAACGTTTAATATGTCGAAAACCCTTCAGGAATCCAAAATGTGTGAATTCACTTGGGGGCTAGAATCCAGTCTCGCGTGACAGACTTTTTTTCTTACGCGCAAAACACTTGGACCTTTTAAGTACGATGGCAGGGGGAGTGTTACTTTTGGAAACTGTTTTCTTCGGCAAGTCCGGTTCAGCGGATGCACGGCAGGAGGATATTCCAAGCACTACTTTGGAATTCTTTCTTGACATCGTCCACCGTCTCATCGCTGATACAACAACCCTCCAAGCTAAACTGTTGTTTAACTGGTCTCGGTCCCTTGATCATTTTATTTAACTGTTCATAGAATTCCTGTGGAATGAAAATTCCTTCCGACAAGTGCTATGAGTTTTAGTTCAGCAAGCACCGTCTTGGCTTTACTTCCACTCTTAACTTTTCCAACTGACTGATAGGTACGACGACGATGGAACTATTTCGCTAAAAGCAAAAGGAACATCGCGAAAAAAACACGACAGTTAAACTTCCAACCATTGCTAAATTTGAAGTTACATGCATTATCGTGGGTATATGTACATTTATAGGGTAGGGGGCGCTGACCAACCGTTCTTACGGAATTCACTCGTTCCGTTGTGCCTTACGGGCTCTCTCTAGAGCCCAACCAGTAGCCGCACAGCGGCGCATGATATAGGCAGTATGTTACTACCGCCAAAGACAAGGGACTGCAGGCAACGGACCAACTTGTAATGACTGGGATAACCAGAATGGCATTACCGACAAAGACAAGGGAGACTGGTTCTGGCTTGTTAACCGTCGTCACCCAGTCATACCCAACCCCGAAGTGTGGAACACTTGAGGCTCGAACTCGCGACATGTTACATATAATGGTGGTGGGACGCCCACCAATCGTTCTAACGGAACTCACTCGATCCGTTGTGCCCTAAGGGCTCTCTCACGAGCCCAACCAGCATTGGCAAAGTGGCGGATGATATAGTCAGAACGGAATGAGTGAGTTCCTTAAGAATGATCGGTGAATACCCCTCCACCATTGTATATTCCCGATCAAAACCGACAGGACAATGAGCCCGTAGCTCAGTGGTTAAAGGCATTAGAATTCTAACTAACAGATCGCAAGCTCGAGCCTAGGGTGTTCCACACTTCGGGGTTTGGTATGACTGGCTGACGACGGCTAATAAGCTAGAAATAGCCACTCCAGTCTTCCTTGTCTTTGTCGGTAGTGACATTCTGCATATATGTATATACAGTGAGTGACCGATCTCATGAAATTTTGACTGAAATTCTGAAATGCTTTCTCCATCAGGAAGGATTACTTAGGCGCGTCTGTAATACTGATTATCTTGCAGCATAATTCTATAATATTTCAGACTCGGTAGGATGTCAGCTTGTGAATACACTGCTTTTCAATCTCTTGTAGAAACCGTACTCGGTAAAAAATGACTACTTAATTAGCATACACTTTTTGCATTGATTTTCGATGATCTTGCGGATTCAAATATATTTTATAGAGAAACCACAAACAAAATATGCTTTCTTTAATTCTTTTAATAGAAGATTAGATAATTTTTAAATTTTATACTCGGAGAAGGAGTATAATTAGGTTTTAGAAAGTTTTCTAATTCCCGAATAATTTTAAACCTGGTCAGTCGTTGCATTATTGCCTAATGATTTCAGTCTACAAGGTGCACGCGTTCTGCATAAAGAAAATCACATATTCTTTTATGCCGTTAAAAAGATACCAATATACAGTCCATAAAATTTCGCAATGGATGCGAACCATGTTGTCAATTTCACGAGGAGCAGTGGTAAACGGACAGGTTCGATACCGTATGAATGGAAATTGCACGGTCTTAAAAAATTTCTTAATCAGAAACTTTTTTAAACCTTATAATACTCCTTCTCCGAGTATCAAATTTAAAGATTATCTTATTCTCTATCAAACGAATGAAAGAAAGCATATTTTGTTTGTGGTTTCTCTATAAAATATATTTGAATCTGCAAGATCATAGAAAATCAATGGGAAAAGTGCATGCCAATTAAGTAGTCATTTTTTACCGAGTACGGTTTCTACAAGAAATTAAAAAGCAGTGTATTCGCAAGCTGACATCCTACCGAGTCTGAAACACTATAGGATTATGCCGCGAGATAATCAATAATACAGCCGCGCCTAAGTATTCCTTCCTGATCGAAAACGCATTTCAGATTTTCAGCCAACATTTCATGAGATCGGTCACTCACTGTATATACATCTATATCAAGTGAACAATTTCAGAAATTTCCCAATGTAGGACGTGGGGTTAAGTCTCCGGGACATGACTTTTTAGGGTCAGAACCGAAATTTCAATGAACATTTGATTCGAAGACAATCGACTGGTATGGAATAACCACGTAAGGCTTATTCCCAAAAAGGACAAATGAACATTTCCCCGGATGGCTCGGTCACCTCGACTGTCACCCTGGTTTGCCTTGTGTGGCAGCCGTCATCTAACAGACGTTTAAAAGACCTTCTGACTGGTGTGGTTCAGCTGTTGCAAGCAACGACGTCCGCCCTGTGCCCCGCAGCGCGGTGGTCGTAGGACTATGACCTGCACGTGAATCAGTTTATAGTGAGGTGGGCTTGCGCAGCATCTATTGCACTCTCTCCTCCTAACTCACCTAGCCCCATTAGCATGACCGAGTCAAGACGAACGGAGGTGGCGTCAGTAGCTGCGGCTAACAAGACTTAACACCCCGTCTACGCGAGCCGCACACAACCTGGACCTCGCGCAATAGTTTGGGTTTTCACAGAACAAGAAATGAACGACTCGGATATCACAATCGTTAGAATGTCATACTAGCCATTGAGTTTGACTTCCGCCCTTGAGCCAGCCAGAGGCCTTTTAACTGGCGCGCAGGGCACGGAAGAAACCAACCGAAGCCGCTTTGACAGCGCAGGCGGTCGCTACGCACCAGTAACGAGTTCTATGCTCTGCATTCATTCTTAGCCTGCTTCTTCGGAGACCGGAATCAACGCCCTGTGCATCATCATGTGTGACGACTTGCGCCCGATCACTCCCAGCTCCCCCTAACAACCCAAACGTAACCATTCGGACCTCACGGGAATTAGAACTCCGCTCCCTCCCTCTCTCCTGAGCCACCCTGTCGTGTGAACAAACACGACAGTGTTCCCCCTCTCCCCTACTGCACCCATAGTTTTCCCATCCCCCACCAGTGCAAAACTCCACCACGCAGAGGGGAGGAGAGATGACAGAGAATACTGTTTCGGGCTCATTCCGCCTCCCTCCAGCCAGTCGTAATCCTGACAATCAGCCGGAGCCAGAAACACAAACACAATCAGTCGGTTGCCCGCTCGTGACCTTTGCCACCCATACGGAGTCTGTCTGTTTCGCAAAGCCAATAGATCGGTGCACGCCCATTGCTGTTTGAATAAGTGCCCGATCTGTAGCGACAGAGAATGACAGGTGGCGAGGCAGTGATGAACTTCGCTTCCATGAAGTGCTGATGACTTATCTGGTAGAGCCTAATGGTAGACCACATGGGTGATAAGTACTTCGTCGAAGTCCTTGAATTCCTGGTGGGAAAGTGAACTGCCAGTGAGGATCTCCGAAGTCTAGGTGGTGGGTACGCGCGCGGCGTAGCCAACTTGAAACGTTGGGTTTCTCTGACAGAGGAGCCTAAGAAGAAGTTCTTTCCTCCTGGAAGTGATCACTTTCGACATTTTTGTGGTCAGTCTTTCAAATGCGCCTGAGTGGATTTATCGGGACACTCATTTTCCTTTAAGAAGTACCGTCTGCGGTCAAGGTAAACTTCTTGGGTTTCCGCGGTGATATAGCCAGTCGAGTTGGGTTTTTGGCTCAAGAGTGCATAACTGCGTAAATCGGTATGATGTTAAGAAATGTAAAAATGAAAACGATTCATCCATTTCGGCTTGTAGGGTGAACCGGATGGCCGGGTGTATGCAAAGATATGATCAAAAGTCTTTCACAGAAGAAAGTTTCAAATGCCGATTTTTCAAATCCCCCATAAATAGTCTACGGCCGCTGGGCTCAGGGATGATCCTGTAGTTACGCCTTCTAGAGCAACAGACGTCGTTGTCGATGATGATGATGATGATGATGATGATGATGATGATGACGACGACGACGACGACGACGACGACGACGACGACGACGACGACGACGGCGATGACGATGATGATGATGGTGATGATGGTGATGATGATGATGATGATGATGATGATGATGAGGAGGAGGAGGAGGAGGAGGAGGAGGAGGAGGAGGAGGACAGTGCAGCGAAATGTGGAAGCTCTAAATTTCCATTTTTCGCATGTAACCACAGCTGTCGTAGTCTCGTATTGCTGACAGTCATTAGACAGTGGGACACAAGTGTTAGAGGCCTCTATAAGTTTAGACGCCACAGTCTTCACCGTCGTAAAGAAATTCTAAGTTTCCTACTGCACAAAGCTCTTTATCTTAATACAAAGGAGACTGGTCTTTCAATTATGCCTATTGTTTGAGTCCAGCTCTTCAGGCGCCAGCTCTTAACTCGCTTTATTTTGCTACAATCTATTAATATGAGGATTTTTGCGGATGTTGGTCGTCCTAAGCCAGGCAGAATTATCACGGTGAAATAAGATGATAATGTTTGTTAGCAACTGCGACAGCACTATCTCTTCCACTGCGACAGGTTACTCGATAGGGCATGGGAGTAAGAACGCCCTCCCCCCCGCACTGCAGGTGGCCATGTGCTAAATTTCAGGAGGGTTGGGATTAATGCTAGTGTTGGGGTTAGGGTTCAGACTGGGGTTAGTAGAGTTAGGACTAGGGTCGAGGTTAGAAGGGTTGTTACTGAGGTTAGAGTTAAGGCTAGGACACAGGAGTAGGCAATTCGGCCCCCAACCCCCAGAATCTGTCCCAAAGCCACCTGCAATGGGGGATGCCTATTCCCGTGTCCAGGTATAAGTAACTTGACTGAAATCAGTTGTGCCTGTTCTATACACCTTGCAGCGGCAACGGTAGAGTGAAGGACCCTAATTAGCTGTCGGTATACTGCGGATCGAGTCGTACGGGAATGGTGGTAATGGGGGATGGGGCGTTGCAGGTGGGACAACACGCCGGACGGGAAGCTGACGGGATGCAGGAAAACACAGAAGACGGTCGGTGGCAAAAACGATACTCTCAAGTAAAATGTTGAATGTATGCAGAAACGGTATCCAGCTGGATATTCCATGACATTCCATCTTGAAAGAGTGTCAGGCTATCGAGCAACTCAGCCTATCCACTGGCCGACATTTCCGTTATCTCTCACTTCCTGCTCAGCTGATCTCCGTTTTCCGCTCTTGAGTACAGCTGCCAGTCATAGGTACTTAACCGGATTTCGCACTTACATATATCAACACACGACAGCTAATTGGGCTCCTTCACCCCACCTTCGCCCCTGCAGCTTCTCACGAACTTTTCAGCTGCTCGCCCTGTCTGAATGTCTGCTTTTCACATTCTCTCGAATTGCCTTCTAACATTCTCGTCTCATGATTGAAAATTCAATGTTTCTCACGGTTTTTGATGCCATTACCGCTAAAACTACCTTTTTCCTTGCCTATGATTTAATATCATGATAAAAATGGTCTATATTAAATGCTCCGGATGCAAATGTCACTTGATTCTTGATAATTTTTAGAAAGGTTTAAATTTTCTCCACCAAAATTTTGACTTCTGCGACCAAATTAGAAGGGGTACTCAGGAGTGTGAAGCTCCGAATACACATTCAACCTAAATTGTGCACGTTTACATTTCGGCATCTCGCTGAGACCATATCCTTGACCAAGTACTGAGAGCTTCATTGTTTTTCTAATCTATACTAGAGTCATCGCGGCTTGAGACTGCAGAATCCTATTAAAAGAACCACTCTGATTTGCCTAGGAATCGAATACCCTTCCAACGTGGCACGCCTTTTGGCTAGGACAATTAGTCAAAATTATAGTCTCAATTATGGAATCTGCGATGTTTCAAAGCTCATGTAGGGAGCGGGCTTTGCGAGTTAGGTTGCGCACTTTAAATCAGTAATTTTTGAATTACCATTAATGAACTACTTATGGTTACTCCCTTGGACTTCGAAAATTACTTACTGCTTTCAGAGTTATTCGAGTGGTCAAAAAAGGCGCTACCCGGAATCAATTGCCTTCGTACATTTTCGTCTCATGATTGAAAATGCAATGTTTCTCACAGTTTTTGATGCCATTACCGTTAAAACTACCTTTTTCATTGCCTATGACTTAATATCATGATAAAAATGGTCTATATTAAATGCTCCGGATTCAAATGTCACTTTATTCTTGATAATTTTTAGAAAGGTCTAAATTGTCTCCACCGCGCGGTTTTATGGTCTTCCGAAGGTACACAAAGCGAACATACCTCTTAGACCCATCGTCTCCCTACGTGGTATTCCTACTTACGGTTTGGCAAAATGGATGTTTGCTCGTCTTAAGTTCCTGGCAGAAGGATCGCACACAACAGTGGCCTCTGCTAATCAGTTCCTTGAACGTTTAAAACATCTGAAACTAGAGCCAGATGAATCCATGTTATCGTTTGATGTCGTTTCACTCTTTACTTCCATTCCACAACAACTAGCGATTGACGTTGTGAGACAACTCCTGGCTGATGGCTACAACGAGAGAGACAATCCCCTGAAGACTGAACATCTCATGGAGCTCTTACGCTATTGCCTAAAAACATATTTCACCTTTGGTGGACAAATGTATGAACAAATCAAAGGCACCCCTATGGGCTTCCCCATGTCAGGGCTGATTGCTGAAGTGGTTCTTCAACAGATAGAACACTTGGTGTTCACCAAGTATCAACCAAAGTTCTGGGCTCGTTACGTCGATGACACCTTCGCCATCGTCAAATCAGCTGACGTGGAGCACCTTAAAGAATTACTGAACTCGGTTGACCAGAATATCCAATTCACGATGGAGGCCGAAACAAACAATCAACTTCCCTTCCTCGATGTCCTTGTGCGTCGGAGTGCAACTGGACAATTACAAACTACCGTTTTCAGAAAAGCCGCCAACACAAGACAAATACAGCACTTCAACAGCAAGCACCCCCTCTCTCACAAACGCAACTGTGTCCGTACTCTGTTCCAACGAGTTGAACCACACTGCAGCACACCAGCCGACAAAAGAGTTGAACGACAATACCTACATGATCTCTTTCGAACCAATGGATACCCAAGCCACTTCATCAAGCACAGCAAGCGCCGAGTGAACAGATTACGGCCACAAGAAGAAAAACCCGAAGTCTGGAGGGCTATTCCTTACGTTAAAGGAGTCTCCGAGGCGGTTTCAAAACTGCTACAACCCGCCAGGGTAGGTATTGCCCATCGACCCCAGGCAACAATTTGTCGCCGTTTGATGCAACCCAAAGACATACTGCCACCCATTGAAACCTCAGCACTTGTCTATCAAATACGTTGTAAGGATGGAGACTGCAACTACGTTGGGGAAACCGGACGAAAATTGCAGACCCCCCTACATGAGCACAAACTGGCAACACGGAGACTAGACCCAAACTCACAGCTTGCGGCTCACATCGGGGAAACTGGTCATAGTTTTGGTTTTCAAGGAGCAGCCGTCTTAGGCAGGGGCACCTCAAGGACTGAGCGTCTCACACTTGAGGCTTGGTACTCAGATGTCAACTCCATCAACAGGCATCTAGACCTTCCTTCGACCTATAAAGTCCTACGTCACTACATACACCGTGACGAAGACAAGACAATCGTACGGAGCCTAAGAATGCCGAGCAAACACGGCCTGTCGACCACTTCACCCAAAAGGGGAACGCAAACGCAACCAACCCCAATTGAGGTGACGACACGTAATACAGGAGGCCACCAACGCTCAAAGGCGACGGGCAGTAGGCCAAGGCAGCGAAAGAAGAAAAAAATCGATCAGCCCAAGGCCAACTAATGCGGCAGTCTATTCGAAAATGCTGATCGATTTTTTCACTTGACGCTTTGACAATGGAGAGCAGCCCCAGCTCTTCGAAACGTCGGCCAGAAAAGTCCCCCGATCCGGTGAGCAATTCATTCTCCCCAAATATGAGTTATCGCAGAGACCTTACCATTCCTATCACCCTAGTTTTTTGTAGAACCCTTCCCGACTGCAGGAGAATTGTCACAGCGTATTTTATTGCTTAATTTGGAAGTAATTTTGAAAAAATCGGAACCTATGTTGCCTTCCTAATGATATTCCACCGAGGTTCGTTTTTATCCCTCACAAGATGGACCAGTTCTTCTGGTCAGCAACTGGACCTCATAGGTGCGATCCGCGGTAGTCGTTTTGGTTGTTATGACGGAAGGGGGGGCCAGAAGTGATCATGACATTCACTCTTCCTACTTCTGAAGTTATGTTTTGTTTAACTGCCCCCCACTTCTTACATTCTCCCGTTAGCAGCGTCGATAAGTAAAGGGCTGGTAAAGTCCCAATGGGAGCAATGGAACTGATTTCCGGGGATTTCCGGGAAAATTATGAGCAGTTCCCTGGCGGTAATTCATTTCGGGCGCCGCCCGAGGGCATCTTGTCAAACCGAGGGACAAGAAGGCTCTCAGGCCCGACTCCGGAGTTAAAACTGGGTCGCTGGAAAGAAGCCTAATAATAAGGCAATTATCGACGAAATAGGCGACCGAAAATTAATGAGGTCGTTTATTGCCTGGAAGGGTTTTTTTGCGCAGTATTCCACCAAAATGACTCAATAAACTGTGGGCATAAAGCCGCGGTTATTTCTCCCTCGTCTGAACTCTATTTGATTGACCTTATTTAAAATGGTATCCCAGTTATTACAAGTTGGTCCTTAAAGAAAGACAAGAGGTTCGAACTCGCAACCTGTTAGTTTGAAGTCCACACCTCTAACCACTGGGCCACGAGCCCGTAAGGCACAACGGAACGAGTGAGTACCGTATGAACGATCGGTGAGCGCCCCCTACCATTGTATATTCCCGATCGAAAACCGACAGGGCAACGGGCTCGTGGCCTGGTGAGTAGAGGCGTTGACTTCTAAACCAACGGGTCGCGAGTTCGAGGCTCGGGTGTACCACACTTCGGGCTTGGGTATGACTGGCTGACGACGGCTAATAAGCCAGAACCAGTCTCCCTTGTCTTTGTCGGTACTGTCATTCTGGTTATCCCAGATATTACAAGTTGGTCCGTTGCCTGCAGTCCGTAACCCTCTGAATGTAAGGTGAAGTCTAAATCTTGCATGAGGAATTTGTCAGCATAGGACCTAAATCTCGCAATTCACTCGTACTTTTGTGCATTGGCTGGAATCCAACTGTCAAAAACTGAACTGGAGAACACAGCACATAAATCTATCTCACCGCTAGTCTTCTGGTCTTCAAAAAATCACTACGTGCTTCCGTTGTTGCCAAAAAATAGTCGGTAGAAAAAAGGCTCTTGATTTGACAAGAATCCAGAGGGGACAGCGTTAAGCAGTCACCCTGGTGGATATCCGAAAATTTCAGTCAAAACAACAAAATAATCTATGGTCGGTTATGTCTTGCTCGTAGTTTCCTGCTATCTATATGAAGGGCTGTGAAAGCCTCAAATGCTGTTCCAATGTGTTAGTACGTAAAATTGCAATTATTAGAATGTGTCTTAAGTCGAGTTCGCGTGCAGCTACATTTAAAAGTACCCAAGCATCTGCCATCAAACAGTCTTGACGGAAACTCATTTCCCTTTAGCACCACTTCGTTCTTCATCCACTTCTGAAAATGTGGCAAGGTGCAAAATTTAGTTATTGCGGTAGTGGAGGCCCGATGATAACTTGCTACTTCAGGAAAGCTGACTTAAAGGCGAAAATTTTAAACAAGTGCGTACAGAGTACAGCATCCACCTGCACGCCTAGGCAAGTGCAAGTTGGCCGTTTGGCATTAGCGTTCCTCGACCTGTTGCACAGTTTATGTTCTATTTGGTATATATATACATATATATATATATATATATATATGTTGGAAAGGTAATACCGACAAAGACAAGGGAGACCGGAATGGCCATTTCTGGCTTATTAGCCGTCATCAGCCAGTCATACCCAACCCCAAGTGTGGATCACTTGAGATTCGAACCCGGGATCTTTGGTCATGGAGTTGAACGCTCTACCATTGAGCCACGGGCCCGTTGTCCTGTCGGTTGTGATCGGGAATATTAATTATGATAGTGGGCGCTCACCGATCAGGTTACGGAACATGCTCGTTCCGTTGTACCTTTCCAACATATATCACTAGTCGCTGTGCGACTGCCTGCGAGGGTTTAAGTATGAGCCCCAAGGCACAACGGAACGAGCATGTTCCGTAACCTGATCGGTGAGCGCCCACTATCATAATATATATATATATGTCAAGTGGGCGTTTGACCCTCACTGTTGTGGTTAGGATCTCACTCGATCCCATTCTGTCCGCCCGCCAGCTTGTTACTGGCGACAACGAACGCTGTGTCAGAGGACACATACCACATATAATACATACGCAGCTCGCTAAGAGTGCAACAGGCCAGACGCAAACAGCTGTTTCACGGTCGTTACCGATCATCAGTACGTCATAGGCCTTATGAAGTGAGGTATATAAGCATGTCAAGTGAGCTGCGTATGTATTATATGTGGTATGTGTCCTCTGACACAGCGTTCGTTGTCGCCAGTAGCAAGCTGGCGGGCGGACAGAATGGGATCGAGTGAGATCCTAACCACAACAGTGAGGGTCAAACGCCCACTTGACATGCATATATAGATATATATTATGACAGATGGGCGCTCACCGATCAGGTTACAGAACATGCTTGTTCTCTTGTGCCTTGGGGCTCATACTTAAACCCTCGCAGGCAGTCGCACAGCAACTAGTAGTAGACATCTCATCTATGTCGATATTCGCGATTACAACCGACAGGACAACGGGCCCGTGGCTCAATAGTAGAGCGTCAAACTCCATGATCAAAGATCCCGGGTTCGAATCTCAAGTGATCCACACTTGGGGTTGGGTATGACTGGCTGATGACGGCTAATAAGTCAGAAATGGCCAGTCCGGTCTCCCTTGTCTTTGTCGATATCATCTCATCTATATATATATATATATATATATATATATGTGAGAAGAAAAGGCGATCTCGGGAACCTTTGTTTTACTGTCCTGACGTTTCAAAAGCATACAAGCTTCCATCGTCGGAGGTGAGTGTGGTATCGCGCCTCACAGTATTTATAGGTGGGTGAAAGTCATGTCAAAACGGGTTTTCTTACATATGAAGTAAGGGCGGCAGAG